CTATCTTCAGCAAAGTCGACTTAGTTCGCGCCTACCACCAGATACCTGTCGCGCCAGATGACATTGCTAAAACAGCAGTCATCACGCCATTCGGCCTATTCGAGTACCTCAGAATGCCTTTCGGCCTCAGCAACGCTGCCCAAACTTTTCAGCGTTTCATTCATGAGGTAACGCGAGGACTCGAAGGCGTTTATCCCTATCTCGATGACATTCTCATCGCCAGCTCTTCTAATGACGAACATCTTCGTCACCTCGACGCTCTCTTCCAACGCTTAACCCAGCATGGGGTTACCGTCAACCCCGATAAATGCGAGCTTGGCCAAAGCTCCATCGACTTTCTTGGCCACCGCATATCCGCCTCTGGTATCGAAGCCCTGCCAGACAAAATCCAGGCACTGAAGGACTATCCTGCTCCCAGTTCCTTCAAGCAGTTACGCCGATTCCTTGGCCTGGTCAACTATTACAGACGCTTTATTCCTAACTGCGCGAGCATTGTTCAACCAATGACTGACTTGCTCCGCGGTAAACAACGGTCTTTTCACTTTACAGACGACGCTAAATTGTCTTTCGAGAAGCTTAAAGACGCTATCTCCAACATAGCGCTTCTCGCCCATCCAGACACGTCTGCATCACTCTCCCTGACGACTGACGCATCAGACACTGCCGTCGGTGCAGTTCTTCAACAACTCATCGACCGTCGATGGATACCTCTAGGTTTCTTCTCAAAGCGCTTACAACCTGCCGAATCGCGATACAGCACCTTCGGTAGGGAACTGTTAGCTATCTACCTAGGTATCCGACATTTCCGTCACTACCTCGAAGGTCGACATTTCACCGTCTTCACCGACCACAAGCCATTGATCTACGCAATCAATGGCGCAACAGACAAGTACTCGCCGCGGGAAACTAGACACCTAGACTACGTTTCTCAGTTTACGACAGACGTACGTCATGTCTCAGGTGCTCTAATCCCGTCGCGGATGCGCTTTCACGCATTCAGCAGATCAGCTTATCGCCTGGCACCAACATTGATCTAGCCGCTATGGCTGCTGCCCAACAAGCTGATCCCGACACAGACAAACTACGACGCAACACCTCGTTAAAACTACGTGAAGTCCCACTAGCTTCATCTGAAGGGACCATTCTTTGTGACGTTTCACAAACTTCTCCCCGACCCGTAGTTCCTACCTCAATGCGTCGACTAGTTTTCAATGCTTTACACAACCTGTCTCATCCCGGCATACGTGCTTCGCAGAAGCTCGTAACGGAACGCTTCATATGGCCCAACGTCAATCGCGATGTCCGCCTTTGGGCACGCGCATGCTTAGAGTGTCAGCGCGCCAAGGTCTACAGACACACCAAAAGCCCACTTGGCGTCTTTCCCGCTCCTGACGCTCGTTTTGCACACGTCCATGTCGACCTGGTCGGACCTTTGCCTCCATGCAAAGGCTACGTGTACCTACTCACCTGTGTCGACCGATTCACTCGTTGGCCAGAGGCGATTCCGTTAGTCAACTGCTCATCTGAGACAGTTGCACAAGCTTTCTTAGAACGCTGGGTAGCTCAGTTCGGTTGCCCAAGCGTAGTCATCACTGACAGAGGATCACACTTTGACGGATCCTTCAGCAAATTGCTCAACGTTCTTGGTTGCCAACATAACCGAACCACCGCATACCATCCCGCAGCTAATGGGATGGTAGAAAGGTTCCACCGGCAACTCAAAGCCTCACTCTGTGCCCAATCTAGCACATCCTGGCACGAAGCACTTCCGCTCGTTCTCTTAGGCATAAGAAACACGATTAAAGCGGACTTGCACGCCACTCCATCGTCGCTAGTCTTTGGATGCGCACAACGCTTACCTGGTGAACTCGTCTCACCAAAAGCGCCAACAACCTTCGACTATGGCGACTACGCAGCTCGCCTATCTCATCACATGCGACAGCTTCAGCCTGTGCAACCCAGAGCACAGAGCTTGCGTACCAACGTGGACGAACGCTTAACTACTTGCACGCACGTGTTCGTTCGCACTGACAGCGTACGCCGACCACTTCAGCCTCCTTACTCTGGTCCGTACCGTGTCGTACGTAGAAGCGACAAAACGTTTACCATTGACTACAATGGTAAGACTGAGACGGTCAACGTCGATCGACTCAAGCCAGCATACCTTGACAAGTCTGACTCGCCGGTGCAACAAGCACCTTCACAGCCCGTGCCATCACAGCCGGCACCGCAAACGCAGACGAGTCAGCCCGCTCCAGCAGAACCGACAAACACAACCGACAGCACTCCTACCCGCCCTACTCTCAATCGACGCGGTAGGAAACTCAAGCCTCCAGTTCGTTTTTCAGACTTTGTCAGCACTTACTATTTTACGTAGAACGTGCCTTAGAAATTTTCTGCTCTTACTAAACGTTTTTGAAAATCCACAAAAAAAGACCAAAACGTTTTGAAACTACCAAAAAAAGAGCAAAATCTTTTGAAAACCCAAAAACAGCTTTGCACGTTTTTCGCTTTGCACTCTTTTGTGTATTGCTATGCATTTATGCTGCTTTTTCATTTTGCTTTCCATATACACCGTCGGTTGGTTGCACCTCGGTTTCACTTTCCGCTGGATCTCCGCACGCCAACTGGAAGTTCAACAATCTTCCTGCTCAACTGCCTACGTGAACTTTACTAACTGTCCCCCCCACAAACAGTTTTTTTACCGTTTCGACACCGTAGGGAGGACACGGGTGGGAGCCCGCTAGGGTCCGATTGCATGGTTCTCCCCCAGCAGCTGCATCGGGTTTCACAACCTGGTCTCGCAGAAGGCTGGCCCGCGACGGACAGTCCTCACGTAGATCGAAGGACTGCTTACACAGTCCCTTCTGGGAGAGGGCTATGTAGCAGTCTGGAGATTCCCCGGTTTGCTTGTGTAAAATTCTAACCAAAATTCTATAATTGTACACTTAGGCAACCGGTGTGGTTTGTTGAACTGCTTGCTGAGTTCGAATGCTTTACTTGCTCATCGCCATTTTTGCTTGGCGCTCGCTTCGGTTGCAACGCGCGACTGCTCTGTGTGCTGTGCTTGATCCGTTCCCCTAGCTAGAGCGTCCACGGTGTCGTTCATTTATAGCTAGCTAACAGGGAATCTTTTGCTGAACCAATAAAAGTTTCCCTGCAACTCGATCCGTCTTCTGGAATCGCTCTCTGGGCTCCCGGAATAGGCAACCCTCTAAATTGGTGACCCCGGATCCGGAACAATCTCAACGCCGGATATTTCGAACTTTTCTCCGGTGAGCTCGTTCCATTTATTTTTCATATTTTCCGGTTTTATTTTTGCATACGGTAGCCTATTTTTTCGCGTCATTTTTTCAAATCATGGAATCTGTAGACCATAAGGTAGAGTCTATGCTTAGTGTTGTATCTCTCTCAGTTCCACCTTTTTGGGACATGGATCCTGTTTTGTGGTTCGCTCATCTGGAGGCTGAGTTTTATAACCACAGAATCACTTCCGACTACGCGAAGTATTGCAAGCTCCTGTCCTATCTCCCCAAGGAGATATCAATGCAGGTTCGTGACGTCATCATTTCTCAGACCGAAAACCGCTATGAGGCTCTCAAGGAAGCCACGATTAAGCGTGTTATGCCCTCTGAGAAAGTTCGCCTGCAGCAGCTTTTCAGGGATCTGCAGCTGGGCGACAAACTGCCCTCAACCCTGCTACGCGAGATGCAGCAACTCCTTGGTTCATCAACCATGGACGAGACTTTACTTCGCGAACTATGGCTACAACGGCTACCGGAAAACACACAAGCGATTCTCGCTACAGTGAGCTCCGTTCCGCTCACTCAACTAGCAGACTTAGCGGATCGAGTTATTGAACGATCACAGCCACAGGCCAACGCCAGCAAGGTCCATGCCGTCGCGTCCCAGGGCACTTCTATCACTGGCTTACAGTCAACTATAGAAGCCCTCCAAACACAAGTTGCGACACTTAGTCGCCAGGTGCAACAGCTTACTATGAACCGTCGTCGTCATAGCCGATCAAAATCGCCCTGCAAACGTTCTAAGTCTAGCAACAGGCAAGCTAGCTGTTGGTACCACCAGCGTTTTGGTACCGCAGCTCGTAAATGTGTCAAGCCTTGCAACTTCGCCGAGAAGCAGGGAAACTTCTCGGCCGGTCGGTAACGGCGACGGACGCGACCGGCCAACACCAAAGTCGCCTCATCCGTGTTAGGGATTTAACTTCCGGCACCGAGTTTCTAGTCGACACTGGTGCCGAAGTTAGCGTTATACCCCGTAGCTCAGATGAGGTCGTCTCACCATCGCCGACCAAGCTGCGTGCCGCCAATGGCACACCAATCGCAACTTTCGGCGAAAAGCTGCTAACGCTCAACTTAGGCCTCCGGCGAACCTTTCGCTGGCCTTTCATAATCGCTGCTGTGCCTTTCGCCATCATAGGCATAGACTTTCTTCAACGCTTCGACCTCATCGTCGACGCTAAACGGAAGAAGCTTATCGACTCTAGGACACAGCTCAGTGTTATCGGGACTAGCGCCAACGTGGCTGCTATCACTCCCATTCGTGTCCTACCTCAAGCTTCACAGTCTTTTCTAGAACTTTTCAGCAAGCACCCTAAACTCGTTCGCGTCCTGAACGAGTTGCCTCCTGTGACGTCAAACGTCACGCATCACATTTGCACTAAGGGCCCACCTGTTTCGGCCCGCCCTCGCCGACTAGCCCCGGACAAGCTCAAAGCTGCGAAGGCGGAATTCGAGCAAATGCTCGAACTGGGAATCATCCGCCCGTCTAAAAGTCCATGGGCATCACCATTACACATGGTGCCGAAGAAGTCCGGTGACTGGCGCCCTTGTGGTGACTACAGGGCACTTAACAAAGTTACCGTCCCGGATAAATACCCTATTCCGCACATGCACGACTTGACCTCAGCTCTAGCTGGCAAGTCTATCTTCAGCAAAGTCGACTTAGTTCGCGCCTACCACCAGATACCTGTCGCACCAGATGACATTGCTAAAACCGCAGTCATCACACCATTCGGCCTATTCGAGTACCTCAGAATGCCTTTCGGCCTCAGCAACGCTGCCCAAACTTTTCAGCGTTTCATTCATGAGGTAACGCGAGGACTCGAAGGCGTTTATCCTTATCTAGATGACATACTCATCGCCAGCTCTTCTGACGAGGAGCATCTTCGTCACCTCGACGCTCTCTTCCAACGCTTAACACAGCATGGGGTTACCGTCAACCCCGATAAATGCGAGCTTGGCCAAAGCTCCATCGACTTTCTTGGCCACCGCATATCTGCCTCTGGTATCGAAGCCCTGCCAGACAAAATCCAGGCACTGAAGGACTATCCTGCTCCCAGTTCCTTCAAGCAGTTACGCCGATTCCTTGGCCTGGTCAACTATTACAGACGCTTTATACCTAACTGCGCGAGCATTGTTCAACCAATGACTGACTTGCTCCGCGGTAAACAACGGTCTTTTCACTTTACAGACGACGCTAAATTGTCTTTCGAGAAGCTTAAAGACGCTATCTCCAACATAGCGCTTCTCGCCCATCCAGACACGTCTGCATCACTCTCCCTGACGACTGACGCATCCGACACTGCCGTCGGTGCAGTTCTTCAACAACTCATCGACCATCGATGGATACCTCTAGGTTTCTTCTCAAAGCGCTTACAACCTGCCGAATCGCGATACAGCACCTTCGGTAGGGAACTGTTAGCTATCTACCTAGGTATCCGACATTTCCGTCACTACCTCGAAGGTCGACATTTCACCGTCTTCACCGACCACAAGCCATTGATCTACGCAATCAATGGCGCAACAGACAAGTACTCGCCGCGGGAAACTAGACACCTAGACTACGTTTCTCAGTTTACGACAGACGTACGTCATGTCTCAGGTGCTCTCAATCCCGTCGCGGATGCGCTTTCACGCATTCAGCAGATCAGCTTATCGCCTGGCACCAACATTGATCTAGCCGCTATGGCTGCTGCCCAACAAGCTGATCCCGACACAGACAAACTACGACGCAACACCTCGTTAAAACTACGTGAAGTCCCACTAGCTTCATCTGAAGGGACCATTCTTTGTGACGTTTCACAAACTTCTCCCCGACCCGTAGTTCCTACCTCAATGCGTCGACTAGTTTTCAATGCTTTACACAACCTGTCTCATCCCGGCATACGTGCTTCGCAGAAGCTCGTAACGGAACGCTTCATATGGCCCAACGTCAATCGCGATGTCCGCCTTTGGGCACGCGCATGCTTAGAGTGTCAGCGCGCCAAGGTCTACAGACACACCAAAAGCCCACTTGGCGTCTTTCCCGCTCCTGACGCTCGTTTTGCACACGTCCATGTCGATCTGGTCGGACCTTTGCCTCCATGCAAAGGCTACGTGTACCTACTCACCTGTGTCGACCGATTCACTCGTTGGCCAGAGGCGATTCCGTTAGTCAACTGCTCATCTGAGACAGTTGCGCAAGCTTTCTTAGAACGCTGGGTAGCTCAGTTCGGTTGCCCAAGCGTAGTCATCACTGACAGAGGATCACACTTTGACGGATCCTTCAGCAAATTGCTCAACGTTCTTGGTTGCCAACATAACCGAACCACCGCATACCATCCCGCAGCTAATGGGATGGTAGAAAGGTTCCACCGGCAACTCAAAGCCTCACTCTGTGCCCAATCTAGCACATCCTGGCACGAAGCACTTCCGCTCGTTCTCTTAGGCATAAGAAACACGATTAAAGCGGACTTGCACGCCACTCCATCGTCGCTAGTCTTTGGATGCGCACAACGCTTACCTGGTGAACTCGTCTCACCAAAAGCGCCAACAACTTTCGACTATGGCGACTACGCAGCTCGCCTATCTCATCACATGCGACAGCTTCAGCCTGTGCAACCCAGAGCACAGAGCTTGCGTACAAACGTGGACGAACGGTTAACTACTTGCACGCACGTGTTCGTTCGCACTGACAGCGTACGCCGACCACTTCAGCCTCCTTACTCTGGTCCGTACCGTGTCGTACGTAGAAGCGACAAAACGTTTACCATTGACTACAATGGTAAGACTGAGACGGTCAACGTCGATCGACTCAAGCCAGCATACCTTGACAAGTCTGACTCGCCGGTGCAACAAGCACCTTCACAGCCCGTGCCATCACAGCCGGCACCGCAAACGCAGACGAGTCAGCCCGCTCCAGCAGAACCGACAAACACAACCGACAGCACTCCTACCCGCCCTACTCTCAATCGACGCGGTAGGAAACTCAAGCCTCCAGTTCGTTTTTCAGACTTTGTCAGCACTTACTATTTTACGTAGAACGTGCCTTAGAAATTTTCTGCTCTTACTAAACGTTTTTGAAAATCCACAAAAAAAGACCAAAACGTTTTGAAACTACCAAAAAAGAGCAAAACTTTTGAAAACCCAAAAACAGCTTTGCACGTTTTTCGCTTTGCACTCTTTTGTGTATTGCTATGCATTTATGCTGCTTTTTCATTTTGCTTTCCATATACACCGTCGGTTGGTTGCACCTCGGTTTCACTTTCCGCTGGATCTCCGCACGTCAACTGGAAGTTCAACAATCTTCCTGCTCAACTGCCTACGTGAACTTTATTAACTGTCCCCCCCACAAACAGTTTTTTTACCGTTTCGACACCGTAGGGAGGACACGGGTGGGAGCCCGCTAGGGTCCGATTGCATGGTTCTCCCCCAGCAGCTGCATCGGGTTTCACAACCTGGTCTCGCAGAAGGCTGGCCCGCGACGGACAGTCCTCACGTAGATCGAAGGACTGCTTACACAGTCCCTTCTGGGAGAGGGCTATGTAGCAGTCTGGAGATTCCCCGGTTTGCTTGTGTAAAATTCTAACCAAAATTCTATAATTGTACACTTAGGCAACCGGTGTGGTTTGTTGAACTGCTTGCTGAGTTCGAATGCTTTACTTGCTCATCGCCATTTTTGCTTGGCGCTCGCTTCGGTTGCAACGCGCGACTGCTCTGTGTGCTGTGCTTGATCCGTTCCCCTAGCTAGAGCGTCCACGGTGTCGTTCATTTATAGCTAGCTAACAGGGAATCTTTTGCTGAACCAATAAAAGTTTCCCTGCAACTCGATCCGTCTTCTGGAATCGCTCTCTGGGCTCCCGGAATAGGCAACCCTCTAAATTGGTGACCCCGGATCCGGAACAATCTCAACGCCGGATATTTGGAACTTTTCTCTGGTGAGCTCGTTCCATTTATTTTTCATATTTTCCGGTTTTATTTTTGCATACGGTAGCCTATTTTTTCGCGTCATTTTTTCAAATCATGGAATCTGTAGACCATAAGGTAGAGTCTATGCTTAGTGTTGTATCTCTCTCAGTTCCACCTTTTTGGGACATGGATCCTGTTTTGTGGTTCGCTCATCTTGAGGCTGAGTTTTATAACCACAGAATCACTTCCGACTACGCGAAGTATTGCAAGCTCCTGTCCTATCTCCCCAAGGAGATATCAATGCAGGTTCGTGACGTCATCATTTCTCAGACCGAAAACCGCTATGAGGCTCTCAAGGAAGCCACGATTAAGCGTGTTATGCCCTCTGAGAAAGTTCGCCTGCAGCAGCTTTTCAGGGATCTGCAGCTGGGCGACAAACTGCCCTCAACCCTGCTACGCGAGATGCAGCAACTCCTTGGTTCATCAACCATGGACGAGACTTTACTTCGCGAACTATGGCTACAACGGCTACCGGAAAACACACAAGCGATTCTCGCTACAGTGAGCTCCGTTCCGCTCACTCAACTAGCAGACTTAGCGGATCGAGTTATTGAACGATCACAGCCACAGGCCAACGCCAGCAAGGTCCATGCCGTCGCGTCCCAGGGCACTTCTATCACTGGCTTACAGTCAACTATAGAAGCCCTGCAAACACAAGTTGCGACACTTAGTCGCCAGGTGCAACAGCTTACTATGACCCGTCGTCGTCATAGCCGCTCAAAATCGCCCTGCAAACGTTCTAAGTCTAGCAACAGGCAAGCTAGCTGTTGGTACCACCAGCGTTTTGGTACCGCAGCTCGTAAATGTGTCAAGCCTTGCAACTTCGCCGAGAAGCAGGGAAACTTCTCGGCCGGTCGGTAACGGCGACGGACGCGACCTGGCCAACACCAAAGTCGCCTCATCCGTGTTAGGGATTTAACTTCCGGCACCGAGTTTCTAGTCGACACTGGTGCCGAAGTTAGCGTTATACCCCGTAGCTCAGATGAGGTCGTCTCACCATCGCCGACCAAGCTGCGTGCCGCCAATGGCACACCAATCGCAACTTTCGGCGAAAAGCTGCTAACGCTCAATTTAGGCCTCCGGCGAACCTTTCGCTGGCCTTTCATAATCGCTGCTGTGCCTTTCGCCATCATAGGCATAGACTTTCTTCAACGCTTCGATCTCATCGTCGACGCTAAACGGAAGAAGCTTATCGACTCTAGGACACAGCTCAGTGTTATCGGGACTAGCGCCAACGTGGCTGCTATCACTCCCATTCGTGTCCTACCTCAAGCTTCACAGTCTTTTCTAGAACTTTTCAGCAAGCACCCTAAACTCGTTCGCGTCCTGAACGAGTTGCCTCCTGTGACGTCAAACGTCACGCATCACATTTGCACTAAGGGCCCACCTGTTTCGGCCCGCCCTCGCCGACTAGCCCCGGACAAGCTCAAAGCTGCGAAGGCGGAATTCGAGCAAATGCTCGAACTGGGAATCATCCGCCCGTCTAAAAGTCCATGGGCATCACCATTACACATGGTGCCGAAGAAGTCCGGTGACTGGCGCCCTTGTGGTGACTACAGGGCACTTAACAAAGTTACCGTCCCGGATAAATACCCTATCCCGCACATGCACGACTTGACCTCAGCTCTAGCTGGCAAGTCTATCTTCAGCAAAGTCGACTTAGTTCGTGCCTACCACCAGATACCTGTCGCGCCAGATGACATTGCTAAAACAGCAGTCATCACGCCATTCGGCCTATTCGAGTACCTCAGAATGCCTTTCGGCCTCAGCAACGCTGCCCAAACTTTTCAGCGTTTCATTCATGAGGTAACGCGAGGACTCGAAGGCGTTTATCCCTATCTAGATGACATACTCATCGCCAGCTCTTCTGACGAGGAGCATCTTCGTCACCTCGACGCTCTCTTCCAACGCTTAACCCAGCATGGGGTTACCGTCAACCCCGATAAATGCGAGCTTGGCCAAAGCTCCATCGACTTTCTTGGCCACCGCATATCTGCCTCTGGTATCGAAGCCCTGCCAGACAAAATCCAGGCACTGAAGGACTATCCTGCTCCCAGTTCCTTCAAGCAGTTACGCCGATTCCTTGGCCTGGTCAACTATTACAGACGCTTTATCCCTAACTGCGCGAGCATTGTTCAACCAATGACTGACTTGCTCCGCGGTAAACAACGCTCTTTTCACTTTACAGACGACGCTAAATTGTCTTTCGAGAAGCTTAAAGACGCTATCTCCAACATAGCGCTTCTCGCCCATCTAGACACATCTGCATCACTCTCCCTGACGACTGACGCATCAGACACTGCCGTCGGTGCAGTTCTTCAACAACTCATCGACCATCGATGGATACCTCTAGGTTTCTTCTCAAAGCGCTTACAACCTGCCGAATCGCGATACAGCACCTTCGGTAGGGAACTGTTAGCTATCTACCTAGGTATCCGACATTTCCGTCACTACCTCGAAGGTCGACATTTCACTGTCTTCACCGACCACAAGCCATTGATCTACGCAATCAATGGCGCAACAGACAAGTACTCGCCGCGGGAAACTAGACACCTAGACTACGTTTCTCAGTTTACGACAGACGTACGTCATGTCTCAGGTGCTCTCAATCCCGTCGCGGATGCGCTTTCACGCATTCAGCAGATCAGCTTATCGCCTGGCACCAACATTGATCTAGCCGCTATGGCTGCTGCCCAACAAGCTGATCCCGACATAGACAAGCTACGACGCAACACCTCGTTAAAACTACGTGAAGTCCCACTAGCTTCATCTGAAGGGACCATTCTTTGTGACGTTTCACAAACTTCTCCCCGACCCGTAGTTCCTACCTCAATGCGTCGACTAGTTTTCAATGCTTTACACAACCTGTCTCATCCCGGCATACGTGCTTCGCAGAAGCTCGTAACGGAACGCTTCATATGGCCCAACGTCAATCGCGATGTCCGCCTTTGGGCACGCGCATGCTTAGAGTGTCAGCGCGCCAAGGTCTACAGACACACCAAAAGCCCACTTGGCGTCTTTCCCGCTCCTGACGCTCGTTTTGCACACGTCCATGTCGACCTGGTCGGACCTTTGCCTCCATGCAAAGGCTACGTGTACCTACTCACCTGTGTCGACCGATTCACTCGTTGGCCAGAGGCGATTCCGTTAGTCAACTGCTCATCTGAGACAGTTGCGCAAGCTTTCTTAGAACGCTGGGTAGCTCAGTTCGGTTGCCCAAGCGTAGTCATCACTGACAGAGGATCACACTTTGACGGATCCTTCAGCAAATTGCTCAACGTTCTTGGTTGCCAACATAACCGAACCACCGCATACCATCCCGCAGCTAATGGGATGGTAGAAAGGTTCCACCGGCAACTCAAAGCCTCACTCTGTGCCCAATCTAGCACATCCTGGCACGAAGCACTTCCGCTCGTTCTCTTAGGCATAAGAAACACGATTAAAGCGGACTTGCACGCCACTCCATCGTCGCTAGTCTTTGGATGCGCACAACGCTTACCTGGTGAACTCGTCTCACCAAAAGCGCCAACAACTTTCGACTATGGCGACTACGCAGCTCGCCTATCTCATCACATGCGACAGCTTCAGCCTGTGCAACCCAGAGCACAGAGCTTGCGTACAAACGTGGACGAACGGTTAACTACTTGCACGCACGTGTTCGTTCGCACTGACAGCGTACGCCGACCACTTCAGCCTCCTTACTCTGGTCCGTACCGTGTCGTACGTAGAAGCGACAAAACGTTTACCATTGACTACAATGGTAAGACTGAGACGGTCAACGTCGATCGACTCAAGCCAGCATACCTTGACAAGTCTGACTCGCCGGTGCAACAAGCACCTTCACAGCCCGTGCCATCACAGCCGGCACCGCAAACGCAGACGAGTCAGCCCGCTCCAGCAGAACCGACAAACACAACCGACAGCACTCCTACCCGCCCTACCCTCAATCGACGCGGTAGGAAACTCAAGCCTCCAGTTCGTTTTTCAGACTTTGTCAGCACTTACTATTTTACGTAGAACGTGCCTTAGAAATTTTCTGCTCTTACTGAACGTTTTTGAAAATCCAAAAAAGACCAAAACGTTTTGAAACTACCAAAAATGAGCAAAAGCTTTGAAAACCCAAAACCAGCTTTGCACGTTTTTCGCTTGGCACTCGTTTGTGTATAGCTATGCATTTATGCTGCTTTTTCATTTTGCTTTCCATATACACCGTCGGTTGGTTGCACCTCGGTTTCACTTTTCGCTGGATCTCCGCACGCCAACTGGAAGTTCAACAATCTTCCTGCTCAACTGCCTACGTGAACTTTATTAACTGTCCCCCCCACAAACAGTTTTTTTACCGTTTCGACACCGTAGGGAGGACACGGGTGGGAGCCCGCTAGGGTCCGATTGCATGGTTCTCCCCCAGCAGCTGCATCGGGTTTCACAACCTGGTCTCGCAGAAGGCTGGCCCGCGACGGACAGTCCTCACGTAGATCGAAGGACTGCTTACACAGTCCCTTCTGGGAGAGGGCTATGTAGCAGTCTGGAGATTCCCCGGTTTGCTTGTGTAAAATTCTAACCAAAATTCTTTAATTGTACACTTAGGCAACCGGTGTGGTTTGTTGAACTGCTTGCTGAGTTCGAATGCTTTACTTGCTCATCGCCATTTTTGCTTGGCGCTCGCTTCGGTTGCAACGCGCGACTGCTCTGTGTGCTGTGCTTGATCCGTTCCCCTAGCTAGAGCGTCCACGGTGT